GAAGCAAAGAAATTAACATTTATTGATCATCTACCTATAATGTGTCAAGCACATATATTTTCTCATTTAATCCTCCTAATAATTCCTCAAAGCATGTGTATGTGTGTATTTTTTTTTTTTTTTTTTTTGATGGCTGGTGCAGAGATCTGAGAACTTGACCTTGGCGTTATAACACCACGCTCTAAGCAACTGAGATAATGGCCAGCCCTCAAAATATATATTCTTATTCACATTTTGCTCATAGAAAAAACAACCACTATGAAAAACAGAATGAAGCTTCCTCAAACAACTACAGATAGATCTACCATACAATCTAGCAATCCCACTTCTAGGTATATACTCAAAGGAAAGGAAATCATCATGTCAAAGGGATACCTGCACTCCCATGTTCATCACAGCTCTATTTCCAATAGCCAAGATAAACCAACCTAAATGTCCATTGATGGATGATGGATACTACTCTGCCATAAAAAAGAATGAACTTCTGCCATTCACAGCAACATTGATGAGCCTGGAGAAAATTATGTTAAGTGAAATAAGCCAGGCACAGAGAGAAAAAAACTGCATGTCCTCACTCATAAGTGGTAGCTAAGAGAGAAGGAAGGAAGGAAAGAAATACCACAGTGGTGTGTTGGATTTGCAGAGAGAGAGAGCATACCTATGAGGAGAGAGGATACCTGGGGGCACGGGGTGTAGCAGGTGAAAGGTTGGGGATTAATTGGGTGGGCGACACGGGGAATAATCACAATTTGTGGTAATGGGCATACTGATAGCATTGATCTGGCCATCACATCTTGGGCACAGGTGGTGATGGTCAACTTTATACTCCATGAATATGCATAATCGATAAAAAACAAACAAACAAAAAAACCTCTCACATCTCCTACTTCATCTTGGCTGTATAGGAACACATACATTTTTCAACTGAGACAGGGATATGTGCCCCAAATTTTGGAACTTAAATGTGAAAATTTTCACTAAACATCTCTCTAATTTGCCAGTGATGTATGATCCTTTAGAAACTGTTTTTTCTTGGGAAGGCAGCAATGATATATCAAAGTCATTATAAAGTGGGAAGACAATTGATAAGCGTTCTTGTAAACCACACATTGTGGGGACCCACCGGGAAAGGAAGAACAGAGAAGTGAAGAGCGATTTGAAGATTTGAAAAAAGACATTCCCACTGATGTTCATGTAGGAAAGGTTTCAGTCCCCATCAGTCAGATGGCCAGAAAAGGAAAACAATTTAAGAACATCACAGAGAAATGGGTCTCCTATTTCCAAGAAGACAATCTTCCTTATGGCACTTTGCTCAAAAGTTATTCCTTGTCCCTATGAAAAGCTGAGGGGAATGAAGAGTTCCTGATCTACTGAGAGTGGACCACAGTGAACTACCACCTAGAACTATTAGAGATCTAAATGACAACAGAGGAGCATGTGGAAATACATAGGCTTGGAAGGCATATGACTGACCATTGGGATAGTGTAGCCAGTAGTGGATCTCCTTCGGGCAGGAAATGTGACCAATGACCATTGTATTTGACCAGGAAGCTGGGAAAGTGGGGTGTGGGTGAGGTTGGGGATGGAGGGAGACCTCTCCTAGGGAGCAAGAAGACAAAGAGGTTGCTGAATATGAGAATGGAAATAAAGCATAAGGGAAAGCAAGCTCAGAACACCAGAGGCCAAGAGACAATAGCTGAAGCAACAGAAACATTGCCTCAAAGATAAGGGTAGAAAGTTTGGGGCTGTGGAAGTTACATAACAAGCAACTACATGAGAAGTCTGAGGACTTCTTTTGCCACCAATAACTGAGAAAGATTCGTGTAAAACCTAATAAGTGAATAACTTTGACTGGCAAAAAAAAAAAGAAAGAAAAAACCCTAAAAACAAAACAAAACATTTAAAAGAGAGGGCCCAGAATTAGGAAGAAATGGAAGGAGTTAGCATTTTTTGAGCATTTATTATGTCATACACTGTGCTGAGTGCTTTAAATCTTATTTAATACTAAAAACCACTCAAGAAAGTAGGAGATACAATAAGAAATAGCTGAGGCTTGGATTTCAAGTTAGTGTAGTTGGGTGGCTTTTTATCAGATTAGCAAAAAGAACAGAGGTATGCAAAATTGATACCTTTTAAAAGGGAGTGAACAGAAACAGTTTTGAAAGCTAATATGACATATTAATATAATACAAAATAAAACCAAACCAAAAATACTTACTCTTGGGCCTGGTGCTCCAGGTGGACCCTAGAACATAGCAAATAAAAAAAAAATTATTTACTTAGCAGACATCCCAAGCCAGGCAAGCATAAAAGCATCAATG